AGAGAGAGAGAGAGAGAGAGAGAGAGAGAGAGAGAGAGAGAGAGAGAGAGAGAGAGAGAGAGATGGTGGTCCTACTTGCCAATCAACGTCAAACAGCTTGGGGTGGCAAAATGAAAAGATGAACTGGCAGGGTTAAATGGAAAATGAATTCAAACCTTGGAAAGTTGGTACGTACCCATGTATTTTGGCAGTTGGGCCCTACTCGACAAGCATATATTGCAAACATGACTGGTCCAATAAACGGCAAGGGGATTCTGAAGTTTCTTAATGTCAAAAGGGCATTCTGCTCCACCACCATCTTTAAGGGCCATTTTGGCATATATCGCATCTTTGGGGGGGATATCAAATAGTTTCCCTTTTTACTTCTTTCTGGAGTGCGACTTTGAGACCGGTCCCACTTCTTTTTTATCTTTTTTCCCCCCTTTTAAACCTCGTATGTCGGAGACCTGCTATAGGGGGTGAGAAGAGCAAACCGGGTCCAGCGTACCTTCTCTTGCAATCAAGTGCAGGTCACAGGAATCGTAGTCGAAGAGCAACATTGATATTTGCCCTCGCTCAAGGGGGTTTACCACACTCTGCCTGCTTGGCAGACCCTTCACATCAGTCATACAGTTCCTAATCCCTACCTTCCTCCCGGAACACAACACACCCGCATTTTGACTGTATCAGCCCAGAAACATGCCTTGTATACGTTCATTTTTAGGGTGCATTATGTTCAGGGGAAGACCATTGTATATATGAAGTTAAACTTTTTTCGGGTTGCCCTATTTGTGCTCCTATGAGCTGCTTGCCTCCTGCCAACTGACGACTCTCTTTTTAAAAACTTATCTATATTCATCTCTCAATGTTCTTTAACTCCTTCCTTGGCTTGGAAGATGTTTAGCTTTGAGCCACCTCCCTTTCTTCCCTGGCCACTGTTCCAGGGGAGAATGTGATTGCTCTAGCCGGGGGCTGCTAAGTTGCTCATCCCACTTTGATTGGCACCAAGGAGTTAATAAAGCCACCAGTAGGTTTCCCATATGTCGGCCGTGGGCGGGAATTCGAGGCCGAAACGAAGAATGGGCCGCCCGATGACATTTATCAATGGTGGCCCTTTCCTCGTTGGCGTCCGGATATACCGGCGTGTTTCTGCAAAATGGTTGTTCTTGCGCATTTAGATGCAGAAATGGGGACCATCCTAATCGTCTATGTATCATTCCATGCCGTATTCTGCTCGTGAAGGTCATTTTTTTAACCATTTCAGAGCAATATGGCTGGCAAAGGGAAAACCGATAGGTTTGGGAAACCTACCATCGTCCCCGGAACATTACGCATGCGTTGTAAACGAATACAAGTCGTAGGCTTATTTCTATTCAAATACAACACTCACTCGTTCTATTCGAACAGCTGTTGTATTCAAATACAACGCATACGCCTAGTACTCGGATCACCGTTTTCTTGGAAAACTCGAATACAAGGCACATGCGTTATGATCGGAGGAAGGACGTTAGGAGATTTGAGTCTGGCTACCGGTGTTGCGGTCGTGCTAAACCCCCAAAGACGTGGCTATCTTCAGGACCAGGCTTTCTTTTACCGCGAAGATAGAGAGGTCCTGCCTGGCCCATGGCCGGGCTGCGCTATTATGTAGGCTTGGGGGAGAGGATCTTGCAGTCGCAGGGCATGTGTTCATACGGACATACGGACCCGCCAACCACCCCAGCCTCCCAACGACCACCATACCTGCCCTCAAATCCCTTCAGCCGGCGCAATTTCGGGTAGCTTCACCTTCAAAATGAGCGCACCTGAAAACCCGTCAAATGCCGGTGATTACCCAGCTGCGGGTTTCTGGTGAAAGGCAGACGTGGGGCCGAAGTTGTAGGCACCACCGTTGCGGAGAGTGTAGCGGCGTTTGTGAAGGCGGCCATGGGCGCGCTCTGGCGGGGCGCGCGGAGGAGGCGCCTCTCTCGGCGAGCTGCCATGCCTTTGGCTGCGTTTACTGCAAATGTGCCAGGCGGACTAAAGGGGTTGGAACAAGGCCTGCTTGATGTGGGTATCGAGGTTCAGGAAGTGCCGATCAGCTCGCCCAAAGTGCTGCCTTGGGAGGACGAATGGAAATGGCGACCTCAGCGCAAGGAAAGGAAAGAAGCTGCTGGAGGCTGGTGGCCCAAGAAAGCACCAGCACGCGTTTCACAGTCGGAGGAGGCGGCTACGGTTACCTGGGTGGAGCTGCGCGGAAGCTCCAAGAAGATGTACAGCTTCATTGGCGCGGGACAACAGGAACGCTTGAAGGTTGGTTCGTTCCCCCTTTCTCCTTCTCCTTCCAAAAGATTCCACAAAGAATAGCGAAGGGGAGCAGATGCGTGGTATGAGTAGGGAAAAGAGGATGACGAAAGCTCTGTGGAAAATAGATAAGCTCTACTTCAACACATAG